TCAGGGCCACAATGTCATGTTGACACATCTGTCTTTTATTTTGTTGTTCTGCTATCTTTGGACATTACCCTCATCTATATGGTGGACACACCTCATTCATTTTTAAGCCAGAAGAAGGAAAGAAGGGGAAAGCAGTTGCCCTTCAAGCTCACCATCAGGAAATAATACCTTCCATTGACAACACATTGGACAGAGCTTTGTCTATGGCCATACTTCAGCGTGAAGGAGTCTGGGAAATGTGGTTGTTAACTGGATGATGATGTCTCAACACAACTACAAAAAAACAAAACAAAACTACAAAAAGGGGTGTTAGGAGAAAGAATGTCTGCTATAGGTGACTGCAAAAAATTATGGCAAAGTGCCTTGTGGGTGTGATGGTTCTTTGCAATAACCCCAGGGAAATAACGTCAAATGGGAATTGAGGGGCTCTCTGCCAGGTCTTTGCAGAGCAGACAACTGCATAGACTTTAATAAAGAGAGAGTGGAAATTTATTCCTGGAAGGAATATTAAGCCCAATAATATTAAACAAGACATATTAGTACCATAAAACAAAAGAGCAGCAATTCTAAAATCTTTACCAGAAGGTAGCTCCTACCAGGTAATTTACCCAAATAGTCAGAATTCTGCTTTTGGCTTCCACCATCATCTTCCACTACTTAGAATTAACAAACAGGTTCACTGTGGAATCTAAATCTAGAAATATTAGTGTAGGCTCTAGAACAGATAGGAAATTTGTGACAGGTGCATATTCACCCAATGCCTAATCCCCAGGCACTGCCAGTGCAAATGCTCTACTATGAAGTGGGGCAATTTTGTTGGGAGTGAAAGAGATGTACCTCAGAAGTTCAGTATTAAACCACCAGTGTATGAGTAAGGACCCTCATTCATTCATGCACTCATTCATTCATCAAAAGTTTATAGAATGCCTATTTTGAGTCAAACCTGTGGTATTGTGTAGGGGCTGAGACACACTGATGAGCATGTTAGAACAAGATTGCTATTTTCTCAGAGTGTAGAGAGTGAGAAAAAAGGCAGGAAAGAAGAAAACATATGAATAGACAGGATACTACACAGTGAAAAATACTAAAAAGGAACCAAATAGAGTGATGAAGAGTGCTGGGCAGAGAATAGGAGGCTCAGGGTGGGTCTTTCTGAGGGCAGGGCATTTAAGCAGAAACCTGAAGGCCACAAAGCCAGTCACACAAGGAGCCAGGAGGAGAGTGGTGGAAAAGAACTTGGTGTATTAATGAACAGCAAGGAGATCGTGTGGCTGAAGTGTATTGGGTGAGGGGAGAAGAATGCAAGATAGCTGAGAGGAAAGGACAGGTCCTAGGGAGTTTCTGGAAGGGGTAGAGTGTGACTGCACAGGAAAGATTGGAGGAATCATTCTTAAATAGGTTCAGGATGGTGGGACAGAAAAGTTCATACTGGGAGTAATCAGAAGACAGGAGAGGGAAGCTGGGGAAAGTTCTGGAAGGTCTCAAAAGCCAAGCAGTTTGAATTCTCAATGATAATATGCTGCCATTTGAACAGGAGAGAAACATGATCAAAAGGTAATGTTAGAAATATTTCCTACACGCTGGAGGCCAGGGCCTCTCAGTCTTGGCACCAGGGATGTGTTGTGCTGGATGCTTCTCTGTTGTGAAGGGCTGTCCTGTGCACTGCAGGCTGTTAAACATCATCCCTGGTCTCTAGATGTCGGTAGCACTGGTCCAGTCATAACAATCAAAAATTATTGTCAAGTGTCCCCTCCCCTGAGGGGCAAAATCACTCCTGGTTAAGAACCAGAGCTATTGGTTATTTGTAATTGGTGTAGTTTATTTTTGTGTTTTTGTTCTTGACAATCGACTTGCCTTCTTTCACTATGCTTGGGTACACATAGGAACTCGATGTTTGAGTAATAGGAAGGCAACCTTAGTTCTAGTGACTGAATATCATTTGACTCCATTGTAAGAAAAGTTCATACAAAGTTTATACAAACACAATTTAATTCACTCAAAAAGGAGACTTTGAAAGTCATCAGGGATCTTTCTTTCATACTTCAGTCCCTTGACACTATTGTTGCTCTTATAGTTTGTCCTTTTTGTCTTAGGGAAGTAGACACCTTAAGGCAACCCCTGCTTTTGGGAAGTGGGAGGGGTGTGGGCCAGAAGGGAAGAGCTCTTAGCCAATGAGGAGATATGTATATTGGGTCAAAAAAACCCCTTTGGATTGTTTTGAAATTTATTTTTTTTGAGCCCCCTAAATCTAAATTAGCTTTGTGGGAACGAATTACCGCCTCAACCTCAACCCAAAATGTATTCTTTCATTGTGTTCAGATGAAGTTTGAAAGATATACAAAAGAATATGAAGAAACTCCTAAAAAAAAGTTTTTAAAAATCAGTTTATCTTCCTATGTTTTAAAAGTAGTGTACTAGGTTAAAAAAAAAAAGTGTACTTGGTTGAAAAGTGTCCCCTCGAAAGTCATGTCCACTTGGAATCTCAGATATGGAAGTTCTGCAGATCTTATTAGTTAAGATGACATCACACTGGGTTTAAAGTGTATCCTAAATTCAACCACTGGTGTCTTTAAAAGAGGAGGAGCAGACACACAGGTGCATACTGGGAAGAAGGCCATGTGGAGACAGAAGTGGAGACTGGAGTGATACATTCAAAGAAAGCCAGGAATTGCCAGGTGCCACCAGAATAAGAAGAGGCAAGGAAGTTTTCTCCCCTCAAAGCTTTGGGAGGGGTATTGCCTGCGGACACCTTGATTTTGAACTTTTGGCATCCAAAACTATGAGAGAGTAAATTTCTGTTGTATTAAGTCATCCAGCTTGTGGCAGCTTGTAATAATTGTAGCCTTAGGAAACTATAATGCAAATGGTAATTTTATGGTTGCTTTTAGCTTTTTATTAACACTTGGGTTTGCCAGTTCCTGCTTCAGACTTCCTGCTTTTCAGAGTTCATCACCATGCAGCAAAGGTTAGCCTTTGCCCTGTACTTCACCATCCCTGGAATGATTAAAATACAACCACGTACAGTCTGTACCCACTGCGCCCCTGCCACCCCCAACAAAACAAAACAAAAGAAAAATCCACAGCTAATAATTCTGTTTAACAAACAGGTTTCTGACTGGAGGTCTGAACACAGCAGTAATGCTTCTTTCAGACCAAATTCCAAGCCAAGAAGCATTGGGCAGCCCCCTGTGGTGGGCAGTGATGAGTAATGGCTCTGCAGTTTTGTTAACTAAAGGATAGTGACTGCTCTGGAGAAGCTGCAACCCTGAATTAGAGGGGAAAGGGAAAGGGAGGCTTTTGGTGGGATCCTAGAGAAAAACTTGAGGAGGTGAGTCAATGGACCATGGGTGTGGGCCTGGGAAGGAGAAATAAAGGGTGGAAAGGGTAGGGAAGGGGTAGGGAATTGCACAAAGTGCAATTGCAGGGGAGGGGGATGGGAAGAGAATGAGAAGCAGGACAGCTGAATCCTTTGGAGAGAGAAATAGTCTTAATTTACCATAGGCAAAAACAAAAAGGGAAGATTATGCAACATTTTTAATGACAGTGTTTCTGTCACTCACCCTGATAGTAGTAATTATGTCTATTATGCAAATTTGGTGGTGAAGGTGCTGTCCTCTGAGCTTGTTCCTGAGGGGATTAATGGGGGAGGTTTTAGTGTCACCAAATAGAGTCTGGGAGGTCTGGAAGTTCTCATTTATAATCTTACAAATACAGAGTTTCTTATAAAATAAGCTCTTTAAATTAACTAAAGAAGATAGCCATTTCTCTTTCTTCCAGCCCTGCCCTTACTACGTCCTGTGTTTGTTTTTCTAGTGGAGGGGTCTAGACATTTGCTCGGTTTGATCTTTAGCCAAAACAAATGATTTGCACACATACTTTTAGAGGGGAGAGAAGTGAATATGTTGCTTGTCCAGAGAACAACTCAGAAATTCATCTAAATTTTAGGTGAGGAATGAAGAGGCTTGGGGTGCGGTGGGTTTTGGGTGGGAGTAAATGATTCCCAGGGCAGCCAGAGAGCTAACATTGCCTACAGTTGGCATCAGAAACATGAGCCTCATTCAAAAATATTTGTTCAGTCCCTACTCTGTGGCAAGCCACTGGTGGAGGGCTTCGGATATAAATATGGTTTTTTTAAACGGGGTTATAGTTTAGTAGAAAGATTGATGATTAGATGATTATTCATTCACTCATTTATTAGTCAAATAGTTATCGAATCTCTTCTGTGCATTAGAGACTGTTCTAGCACTTAGTAAAGTGCAAATAGAGCAGACACAGATCCTGCCTTCTCTGCGCGAAACAAAGGGGTTGTGTGTCACGCAGATGCAGGAGACTCTCTCCACCTGAAGGAGTCAGGGATGCTTTCTTAGCACATCTGCAAAAGCATGGAAGGTGCTGAGGAGTGAGGGTTGATTGTTCTTTTAACTGTGCCTTTAACCTTTTTTTGTCTTGTTTTGTTTTGTGCTAATCCTCACCACAGCACTTTCTAACAACTCAAATGTGACCTGGCACAGGAAATAGCTTCTCCAAAAAGGGCATTTTAAAATGACCTTCCTGCCATCCATCTTCTCAGCCTGAGCCTGTGCTCTGCACACTCAGCCACCCTGAGTGTCAACTCCCAGCCCTTCCCCCACCCGTTTACAGATGACCCCCAAATGCATGACCTCTGAGTTCCAAATCTTCTAACTACCTGCCAACCTCAGTGACCAGCATCTCCCAGACACCTTATCCAGTCTGGAGCCGTGTGGCATTCTTCTCCCTCCCCTCGTGCTGAATCATGATCTGAACAGGCTCCTCTTCCCTCCACCGCTTGGGGCTGCTTTTCCCTGGCCATAGGCCCAGGGCAGAAACCTGTCTCCCCCCTGGTGGGACTTTGTATTTGCCTGGGAATTTAGCAACAAGGGAGCACCTGGATCCTTTCCCAGCATCCTCTGGGCTCCACCTTCCCCCGTGAACGCTTCCCACGGCGCGCCCACGCCACGTCAGTCCTCGCGCGTCTCCGGCCCTGCCTGCTCCGCACGGCCCAGGCCCCAGGCCCGTGGCCCAAGGCGTGGGGAAGGAGGAAGTGGCTGCTTTCCCTAACACAACACAGGATTTTCGCGCTCTCCGAACACCTTCACTACGAAATCCAGGTAGGGTGCCCCGCACTCAAGTGGGTTTCCAGGTCTTAGGTTGTGAGGGGCTGTTAGGGACACCCTAGGAGGACTCAGAACAGAAAAACAGGTTCGCAGCTGCTGAGCTCGGCATGGGAGAGCAAGAAAGGAGAGACCCTGCTCTGCAAAACCCTCCCGCTTTTGAGAGGTCACTGACTCCTGGCACAGGGATCAGCCGCTCTGTCATCTCTGAGGGTGCCTCCTCTTGCTGCGGGGCTCCCCCTTATTAAACGTAGTGTCACCAGCGGGATTTGAGACAGAAGGCGCATGGGTTGGCGCGCGTGTGCGCTGGTGGTGTGACAAGCAGTGCGCTTGCCCCACTTCTGCTAAATGAACCATATTAACCTAATACTTGGAGGCAGGCTCCTTCTCCGCGGTGCCTACACCCAACACCAGGTAGGGAGGCCCTCTGAGCCGCGCTCTCTGTTTACACCTTGCCTTGGCAGGGCCTTACTCAGTATCCCACAGGGCCTCCCTGTCTGTCTTCCCCGCACTGTAGACATCCAAGAGCTATCACTAATTCACTAAGTGTCCTCCTTCAGCCTGGTCATGCATTTTTAATTAACTTTTATATCACTACTCGGGTAACACAGCTCTGCCTTCTTCTTTGTCCTCATGGAACACAGCTGAAGTCAGCTATGAGCTGTTATTTCACACAGAGGAGTTTCTGCCACCTCCCTGCAAAGTAGCGCATCCTGCTTATTTGAAACCTAAATATTTCAGACTTAAAATATTGTGAAATTAATTTTCCATTTAATGCCTTCTTCAAATTGCTAGAAGAGAACGTATAGATGAATACATGGCAGGCCTCCAATTTTATACTTGAAAAAATGAGACACAGACAGTAAATCATTTCCCCAAGGTCACACAGCAAGCTTGCAGTAGGGCCACAGTTAAAATGCAGGTCTTCTGAGTATATGTGCCTTCATGCTATGAAGTCTCTAAAATGATAGATTTAAATCCAGAGAGAGTGGCCTTATACTCTCCCCCTGCCAAATCCAAAATGAGTATGTGAAATAAATCTCCGAATCTCCAAGACCTAGTAAAGAGATATAGTCACTCATTTGAGTGAGCAATAGTTGTTAGGTTTCCTCATTATTTTATTTTATTTTATTTTTAAATTTTTTTTTAAGATTTTATTTATTCATTTATACAAGCACTGGATACAGTCAGAAGCACAGGAGGGTGAGAGAATTCACCAGAGCCAGAGCGGGGAACAGAACAGGCAGACTGACGAAGTACACTGCTGAGGGGAGCAGTGGGCGTGGCAGGAGAGGTTGCGCCATGTGGGACCCTCGCTGGCAGCCGGGGATGGAACCAGCACTGCAGAGGCTGCAGGCGGCTTGACAGCCCAGTGCTCAACCGCTGCGCCACTAGGGGAGGCCCTCCTCATTATTTTAGATATGTAGAAACAAAGAAATTAAGCTCTGAACAGAGAAACTGAAAGTGCAGGGAGAACAGTGAGAGAAAATATAAAATAAGATCTCAAAGAAAAAGACCTGGACTAGAAATCCGAAGTGGTGGAAACTTGGAAACAGAAAGCCACCAGAGGTGGGGATGCAGAGGCTGTAGGCAGGATAGGAAGGGTGAGGACTCTGGAGTCCTGACAGACATGATTTTTAATCTCAGCTTTAGCATTTGCTAAATTTTATACTTCAAAAACGAGATACAGAGATGTTAAACCATTTCCCCAAGGTCACACAGCAAGCTTGTAGCAAGGCCACAATTAAAATGCAGGTCTTCTGAGTACCAAGTCTATGTACCTTCATGCTATGAAGTCTCTAAGATGATAGCTTTAAATCCAGACAGTGTGGTTTGGGGGCAGTTAATTTCTTGGAAGCTAGCATCTAAATTGGAGTGTTGTTGTGATGATTAAATGAGAAAATGCATGTAAATACCCAGTGATGCCTTGCATGCCGTAGGCATTCAGTAAGTGGTCAGATTTGTGATTACATTTAATTAGAGAGAAGAGACCCTGTCTCCTCTGGCCAAGCCCTAAGCAAAGTTGGGAACAAGACTGGAAGATCTCTGATTCTGGCACAAATATATGGTAATGCAAATCTCCTGCCCAGGATTCCAACTATGCAGGCCCCAGGGCTGCAGGGGGACTGACTGGACCTGGTGGCTTGGGTTTATCTTTCCTGATTGTTATTTAAAACCTTTCTTTTCTTTTACCTTCCAGTATGGTAGTTTTTAAACTGGAGGTAAATTCCCCCCACCCTCCACCCAGGGCAGGTGGGGGGGTTGTAGGGGTGGAGGCATTTGGCAATATCTAGAGAAGTTTTTGGTATCATAATGAGGTTGGGAGTGGAGATGGTATTGACATGTAGTGGATAGAGATCAGAGATGCTGCAGAACATTCTACAATGAATGCCCAGCACCAACTTTCCACAACAAAGAATTACTGGTCCAGAACACCAAGGTTGAAAAACCCTGTGTCTTTATCCTTAGAGGAACAATCAGGTCTGTATTGTGGCTGCAAAGCTAAGTTTCCCAGAAGATAGGAGAAAAAGCTCTGATTTGGGGGGGCTTTTTTGCTTAATGTGTATTGTATAACTATTTTTTAAAACCTCTGTTGCAGCCTGAGGGGTCCTGGGCTAGACTCCCAATTTTTGATTCCTTAAATAGACCTGTTTTCCTTTCTCTCCTCCCTCTGCTAGCACCATCTTGATTTTCCTTGAGAAACTTGCGGTCTTGAATTTGCTGTTCTTGTGATTTGGGTAGAAATGACTTCAGGTGCGGGGATGTGGTGGTTGTTCCACCTGCCCAGGTTTCATTCAGCAACGGATGTGGACCAGTTAGAGCCAAGTTTGACGACATTTCAGAACTTCTCTGAACCGTGGAAGGTGAGAGATTTCTTTTTCCTATGGATGCACTGAGAAGAGAGGACTCGTAACTCAAGCTACAGAGAGCCATCTTGCCACCTCGACAGGGAGAGCTGTGGTAATGACAGAGGACCATGAAGGGGCCCACATCACTTCTCACATTCTGCTGTGAACTGCAGAACAAAGGAACAGAGAGAAAATGAGCCCCAACAACATCCTTCAGACCTTGAAAGCAAATATGGCTGTACCTTTTACTTATTTGAACCAATAATTCACTTCCTTTTTAAGCAGCATAAAATAGTCTTAATTAAGTTTCTGTCACTGCAACTGAGAATCCCAAAGAAGACAAACCTGGAGGTTGTTGAATATAACAAGCTTGGAGGCAGCAAAGCCATCAGAGCACTTTTGAAAACTGAGTTTCCATAGAGTTCTAGAAGCATTTTTCTCAAGGAGAACAATTAGCAACTTTCAGTTGTGTTTTTGTTTCTGCTCGACCAACATCTGAACCTTTTTTCCTGTAGGAGCTAAGAAAGCCAGAAATATACCCACTACCTGTGAAGACAAGGTTTGGATACTTAATCTAGGGATGGCCAACCAGATTCACTGGTCTGGAGTTAGAATCTGGAACATGAGAGGCAAGGAAGCAAGGCTGGTGTGGGGTTTGTACTGGCCCCAGCAACTATGGATTCTAGGGCAGTAATGGCCATGGTGGCACCAGTGGTATCCAGTTTCCAATGCTGGCTCTGGGGTCCAATCAGTGTCTGATGTCTAGCAATGGCCATAGGAGTGATCTTCTCAAGTGGTTTCTGGGGTGTAATTTTGGACCATGGGTCCAACTGCTTAGTTTTCCTTCTTCCTGTCAATTTTCCCCAGATTGTCTTTCCAGCTTCTTTTTGATTCTGTGAGCTACCCAATATCCTCTCAATGAATGATTTCCCGCTTATATTAGCCAGTCATTTCTTGTTAGAACCATGGAAAGGACTGAGGATGCTCTGTATGCTTCCTGTAGCAGCAGCTATCACTGTGTAACAATATAACTTAGGGGCTTAAAACAGTATTTATTATGGCTCAATAATTTGATGGTTTAAAGAGGATAGAATCTTCGTTCTTCCCAGATGATAGTATGAAGTAAATATCCCAGATAAGCAGGTGAGTCTGCTATATACAGTCGTTTAAGGGTTTACACTTCCATTTTACTCTCTACGTCTCATAAGAGTACTGCCCTTATCCACACAGTTGAAGCTCTGTTGCCTCCAACCAGCAAGGGAGGAAAGAGGGCAGTCTGAGACTCAGACAAGAGGGGCACATGTTATTCCTCACATTCTACTGCTAATTGCAAGCGGGGCTGGGCACTATGGAGGCGGAATTGGATATTGGCAGACAGGTAGCATTTTCTTCCACAATTTGTAATTTAGAGCAGTGAATCTCAAGGTGGAAATTTGAAGCACATTTGTGGGTAGGTGGAAAACCTATTTTTCTGATGATGAAGGCTGCTTGGTTTGTCAGTTTTTTCAACTTGTACATACTATGATATAATCAAAGGGCACATATATAGTCATGATACTGTGTATTAGATGATGTAACACATAGTGTGATATAGTCAAGAGGACCCAGCAATAGAGACCTGGGTTTGCACACAGGCTCTGGTGTTATTCTAATGCTCCCTTTCTCTTGGCTTCAGTTTTCTTATTTGTAAGATGGGGATTATAATTACTGCCTGAGAAGATTGTTGCAAGTATTCAGTGAAATAAGTATGTGCCCAGAACAGTCTCTGTGAATATTAGATGCTTAATTCTGACCGAGGTTATCTTAACAGGGAGTAAATAGGAAACAAGGAGTTTGTTCTTCTGTTTCTCAGTAGCTGGGAATTTGGAAAGTCCCTTAATTTCTCCAGGTCTCAGAGCATTCTCTGGAAAAGGGCCATTTGAAAGTTATTTATTTATGCACCTGTTAGTGATATTTCTGTTGTCTTCCCACTCTAATATGACAACGAGTCAATGGAAGATGGTGGTATGAAAGTCTTGCAGAAAGAGTATAAGATTTGAGTCTGGAGAAGTTCCCAACCTGAGATCTTCACAATAGTAGGCCATGATACATGTTGAGTACAAACATTAGTATATATGTAATTGAAACAAAACATGGAATGCCACTAAG